TCATACCTCACTGGGGTCTATCTTTCAAACTGAGTTCGAACTCAAAAACGATTGGACAGTTGAATAGGTTCCCTCGTAAGACTCAATTTTGATAGTCATTAGAGATTGTTGACGTAATATTTAACAGCAATATATATTTGATCATTTTACGTAAAAGTATTCTTTTTTTTTATGAACATTACACTCTTAAAAATGATATTTAAATATTCAGAATACAAAAATAAGAAAAAGTTAATATTAAAATTAAGATTTAAAGTTTGCAAGTATAATTTAAAGAGAAAAAGTTGAGCACATTTGTATATTTGAGATATTTTCTTAATCGTAATAGCAAGAATGAATCGAACAAACTTATGAGAAACTGAAATGATTTCCTATTAGGAAAATTATTTTTCCAATTTAAAAACGTTTAAAAGAAATGGCTCTGTTGTAAAATCAAGATCTTTGAAAACCAGTTATCTGAATTCGACTGAAAATGTTTTACGAATAAACATTCTTGATAGTACAAACAGTTCTGAGCAAAATGAGACATTCACCAGCATTTCATCATCAAACTGAATTTAATTTACGGAAGGTGTCGAAATCATTTTTTTTCATTGTCTTTTCAAAAGTTTGCTATGTTTTACGTTTCGAGATCTTCCATAAATGGAGCGGGAAGAGTTTGGAAGCATGTCATTTTGCTCAAAAATGTTTGCGCTATCAGATCAACTTATTTGTAAAACATTTCCAATCGAATTCAAAAACACTGGTTTTCAAATTTTTTGGTTTTACAGAGGCGCATCTCTTCGAAAGTTTTAAAAAATACCGAAAATATATTACTTCCAAAGGACAATTCTTTGAGTTACATAAACTTTTTCTGATTCATCCTAGCTATTACTGTTAAGAGTATATTTTCAAAATAGAATGTGTTAAATGCTCTCACTTTACCTCTCTTATTGGTCTTTTAATATTTCAAGAAAAAAAAAATACGTTGAATAATAAAATGAATACTTTATTTAATTTTACCAATTATGGGTAATTTTTCAACTTCAATAATAGCCGAAAGAATTAGCACTAATACTCAGGAGGTTTTCAGTATACAAAATATTTTTCTGTAGAAAATGTTTAAAGTTTCATTTGTAAAACATTCAAATTTGTCACTTATTGCTCATTCGTGTTGCTATTGCTTAACGCAGAATAATCATCCGATATAAGAATGATTATTGGAATGTGTTTATCTAGTTGATTTATGAAATTTGATTAGCGTTATAATGGTAGAGTGAATTTTAAATGTAATAAATGATTAAAATCAGAATGTCTAGATTTCATGAAACTGAGAAAGAATGAAAGAAAAAAAACTAATGTGTTAAATAATATTATGATGATTAAAACAAATAGTTCATAAAAGTTTGCAGTTTTTCTTTTTTTTCTTCGACACATATTTTCTCTTTCTTTCTCGTTTTTTAAGCTATACGTTCTTATCTTCAACGATTTAGTCATTATTCTAATTGTGATTATTGAATTTTCTCATTACAGATGTTTGCACAATAATTGCATATATGCTATAATCGTATACACCAACTCAATCAAAATATGCTCTTGTTGTAGTCGTATGCTTCAGTGAACACTTGTGCCAGTGTGCACTAGCTGCACTGAGTCGATGTTCAATAAACTGGAACTACAGATTTCTCGATAGGAGAAGGAACTTACAAGCCATGAAATGTTTCTTCATGTACAGGATGGATCATAGATACTTTACGATAAAAAGATTTGAATATATCTACTCTGCTCAAAGGTATTGAACTGAGATTTTAATCAATCATAAAAAAAATGTTCAATGTGGTTTTCGTTTATAAGAAAGCAGCAGTGGACGATTGGACCAATCGATCGAGAAATTGTTCACGTTTCAGGAAAAATGGTTCACCCACGGCCTGTCCAAGCGTGACGGAATCACGTTTTTTCCCATGTTTTTGTAATATCTCAATGAAATGAAGTAGTATAAGGCTGAAATATTTACAGTTAATGCAAGTTGAGTTCCTCTACCCATGCTGAAAGTTTCATAGGATTTGAAGTTTTAGTATTGGTTTTATGACTGACACAACGGTCGTGATGGAATCTACACAAAATGGAACTTGACTCTGAGTGCTGTTCAAAGAGTTTAAAAACTTACCTCAACTATAAATGTGGTGATAAGACTCTCTCTACAAAAGTTGTAGCTCAGATGCCTAGCCATATAAAGAAATACAAAAAAATTGCAAAGTGCACATCGTTAGTTTTGTAGACAGAAAAAGGTGTCGTGACGGAATCACGTTTGAGAAATGATAGTGTTTTATCAACGTTTATTTTCTTCAGAAAGTTATGTAAGAAGTATATCATAAATAAAAGACTCTTAATAAATAAAAATCACAAACAAGAGAGTCAGTTTAAAATATCTTTCTAATAGTATAAAATCTCTCGTTTACGAGTATAAAATATAAATAACATAAAAAATTAAAATCGAAAAACGTATTGATCTTCACTTGTTGAGTAACGAGCATATTGGATTAAATTTTTGTGCAAAGCCTGAATATGGTGTTGTTTTTGAATACCAGATAAATAAACGATGTTGGAAAAGGCTTTTTTCAAGCATTACTCTTGTTATATCGATTTATGCTAGTCGTACAAATATAACAGATATAGTTTTTGTTTTTTCTTGGCATATCCTAACAAAATCTTCAGCAGATGAACATCGCTTCCCGGCCATAATTTCCAACCAAACAAGCCTTTTTAAAGTGCCTCCAACACCATCGACAACACCTTTTCCATTTGAAGAGGCAAAGTAACTCCAACTAAAATCAATATCTAATACATCAAGCATAGTTGTTAAATGAATAATAATATAACGATTTTTGAATTGACTAGATGCATTATCAGGAAAAAAAAATTGTTTTACATCAGGTATCATACTAGTAATTTCATTGACAAGAATTTCTAAACATGTGATAACAGAATATTTATCATGTTTTGTAGAATTAGAAACTAATCCAAAAGAATGGCCATCATCACCACTACCTCCCATCCACATATAGGCAGTAAAAATTGATATATATTACTTGAACCAATATGCAGATTGAATTTGATCTTGATTATCAAGACCAAAATTCTGTGCATAGTCGACTTGACAAACTACTGTTTGATCATCAACATTATCTTTAATATATTCAGAATAACAAGCTTGTTTTCTTTGAATATATACATGAGAAAGGTATTGTGGCGTTTTGAGTTTTAATTGTTTTATACATTTTGAAACAGAACCTTGAATAACGAAAATGAAATCAAGAAAAAACAGGACTTCTTTTAATAGAATTGTTTGCAGTATAAAAATAAGCTTTTAACTCTTTGAGTGCCAAATTATTTCTGCTGGATTCAATTCAAGAGGGTGGGTGTGGGTGTGGGTGTACTTGTGAATATTTCATTAACCCACACCCACACCCACACCCCACACCCACACCCCACACCCCACACCCGCACCCCACACCCCACACTCACACCCACACCCCACACTCACACCCACACCCTCTAAATGTAATTATAATATTATATATTGCATTCGCAAGAAGTATGGCGTTTGTGTTTTAAAACAATTTAGACAAGT